TTTTTTTTTTTTGTCAGGAAAGGACACTTTTCACGCAATCATTTTCAAACCGAGTGTAGCATGAAGGAGTTTTTTTCCATTTTAACCCTTTCAGGGACAGCGGTCACTACATTGAACAGCTGATCATGTTGTCAGGTTACAGGGTGTGGGAAACGCTGAATAATAAATCTGAATGACTACTTTTAATATCATAGCCGTATATTGGAGGAAAGCCGTCTCTCCTTGTGCTTCCAGAACTTGACTCCATTGTAGCTTCCATATACACACACAAGTTTAAAGTCATCCGCTGCCCTGTTGGTGGCAACTGTCAGGTATGATAAAGAGGCGTGGGTGTGACATAAGTAGTATATAGCGTAAGCCGAGCGGGGATCTTTTAACTGAGCTGACTTGGCTTCAGGACAACACCAGGTGGCGTGGGTGGCATTAGCAACGCTTAACAGAGGGAGAGGTCAAAAGGTCGACGGTGACAGAGCAGACATTTTGTCCTGGAATTCCTTCTGGCTGCAAAGCAGCGCACTTGAAACACATTTTCTTATACCTTTTCCATGGAAGCGAAGACAAATGCATCTCAGTGTCTTGGGAGGTTGTTTATTTATTTATTGGACAAATTTGTCACTGAGCTGTCTGTATCGTTAACGCGGCCGGAGAGAGCCTTGTTGCGATGCACCAGAGGGATTTGCGATAGCAGGCAGCAAAATAGATGGTGATGCAACTGAGAGATGTAAGAATTTGAGAAAGTGCCTTGACAGTTATTGTTTTACAGAGTTTGAAAGGCAACACACATAAAAATTAAATTCATCAACAACTTTTTGAAAGCATGATAGGCATTTACACATGTAAAATCCAAGCGGCAAAATTTTTTTAATAATCTTTTTTTGTGGGGAAATCATTGTTATTGGTCAAACTATATGAAAATAACCCACATTCACGAACTTTAAAACTCAACATAGGTTGAGGTCAAGGTTGAAGATTACCATGGCAACCGCGAGCTCCCCGACTGTGTCCTCGTCAGGACACATTCATTAGAAATGTCACTATTATTAATGAACAGGGACAAGCTGTGATTAGAAAGACGCTTGAATAACTGCGCCGTTTTTCATCACAGCTGGTGAAAAGTCCTCAAGTGACATTGTCGCTTTATTATTAATATGCTTTCTCTTCGAATGTATTTTTTTTTTGTTTTGGTTATCGAATGTCCCATGGGTTTGTTGTTGTTTGTTACATTCACTCGATGACGCCAATGTTAAAAAAAAAAAAAGTGCACTGATGACTACCCGCTGTGCTGAAAACTAACATTGAAAATGAAATGACCTTTATTAAAGTTAATAATTCATGAGGGGTTTAGCTTGAGCGCCAGTGGGTCACTAATTGATTGTCCTCACACAATGTAATTTACACGTGGTTTATGACCTGCTAGACTTGTGAACATACATGGGTAACTAAATAATTCATTCAAACAGCAGAGAGCATCGCGGGAATACAACCTAGTGGCACAGTAGGACAGTACGAACTTGCTTACTGTTTCTCTATGTACAGCGTTTACATTTTTTTTTCTCCAAACTATACCAAACAAGCAACGGTATTCCTCCAGTAGCCCTATCGAAGCACTCATAGTTGAGAATAGTTAAGAGTAATAGTGTGTGCCATTCTGCGCCCACAGTGGCTCTTTCTCTTCTCTTTTAACACTGGACACGTGGAAAACAATTCTGCTGTGGCCATCCGTATGCCTCTTCAGGAACAAAGCGTTGCTGGATGCTGCAATCTGCAAAATGGATAATAAATTCATGTCAGACTGAAGGCTAGTTATGTGTGTAAAATAAAACTTCCCTCAATGTGTATTTATTTCATGAAACCAAAAGCACAGAAAATACGAATTTCAATATCGTTTGGGCAGCTAGACCAGATCTGGCCCTAAAAAAAAAAAAAAATTCCATGGTCTTCAAATTCAAACGAGAGAACTTGAGATATGTACATCTCAGATTTCTGCAAACCTCATTTTGTGCCCAGGGAAGTGTGAGAAAATGTGCTTTTATCAGTTTCTGGGTATAGCCTGCCCCCTTGCGGTCAAAATGTTTACTTACAGAAGCGATGAACAGATGGGTCAGGTCATTTGTATATAAGGTCAAATAAAATAAGAAAAAAAAAAAAAAAATTCCATGGTCTTCAAATTCAAACGAGAGAACTTGAGATATGTACATCTCAGATTTCTGCAAACCTCATTTTGTGCCCAGGGAAGTGTGAGAAAATGTGCTTTTATCAGTTTCTGGGTATAGCCTGCCCCCTTGCGGTCAAAATGTTTACTTACAGAAGCGATGAACAGATGGGTCAGGTCATTTGTATATAAGGTCAAATAAAATAAGAATGCGGTTCATATATGTCGGTGGAAAATGTCAAAAGGCTCATTTCACTCATGTTGAATATTTCTTTATCATGAATTGAGTTCTAATTTGCTGATAAACAATTTAGTCCACTTGGGCTGAATATCTTGAGCTGCTCACCGTTTTGAAAATGATCAGAATAAAATTTGAATGATTTTTACGAACAACGTAACTGATAAATTGGACCCATTTCTTGGACTGGCAACCTTTGGTCACATGCAACTTTATGTTGTGCTTGTCGTACCTGAGCTCTTTTGTGATATCGAGGGTGGCAGGCGATGACTGTGATGAAAGAGAAGGTTGCAACAAGTATAGCAGCAGAGGACAGGATGAAGAGCATGTTGTCTGGAAAGAACATCATTTCAGATTATTAGGAAAACAATTCTGGTAAATGCGATGCTTGTGGGAACAGTTTAGAGGTGGACTGAACTATTCGGTGTTTAAAAAAAAAAGGTTGCGTGAGTTCAAAATTTTAAGGCAACGAACTTCAAATAAATGTTAAGTTGCGCCCAATTCAACAACATAGTTTGAGTTTGACTGTTGTGAAAATTGACTTTTCTGCATCTCACAACAGGTCAATTGGAATTTAATTATTCGTTGTGTTGTTCGCTCGACATAAAGATAGAGGTAGAAACAATTCAGCAACTTGCTAGCTTTGTTGCGCAAACCAACATTGTTGCCATAAATGCCAATAATTTAGATTTACATTTAAATTGCTGTGTTAGCCCCCAAAAAATCCAAGTTATGTGTGTTTTGTTTTAGTTTTTTTGTTTTTTGACTGAATGCTGTGACTTAAGTCACAAGGTCAGTTGTGGTGAAATTTCAAAAATACAAAGACAGAACAAGGATCCTACAAAAAGCAAAATACTTAAAAGGCTCCAACATCTACATCAACGAAGACTTTACAGATACCGTACGACAAAAAAGAAAAGAGCTCCTCCCAAAATTAAAAGCTGCACGTGACAGAGGGGAAACTGCCTACTTAAGACATGACAAACTTATCGTCCACCCTCGCACCAGTACTCCAACACAACAGGCTCGAGTTCAACACCATCAAGCGGCATACTGAGAACTGTTCACCACCCGACGACAAAAACTGACCCTACTGAAGCAGGAAATTCACATACCAAAAACATGGACTTCGAACCCTTTGATGACCCTTCGAACCCTTTGATGACTTCCAACCCTACTGACCACAAGACATTTGACCCTGAGAACAACTTGGACCCGGACAACAACTTTTTCAAGACTGACCGACCGCGTTGGAGACTTCCCTCCGCTGCATGGCTGAGAAGGACCCCTCTACATGGGCATCCCATTTTTTTTTTTTGTTAATCTACTGTTGGTGTATGTGCACAGTAATGCAGTGCTGTTCTACATGGCTGCATCCTAAAGATACTCTTCAACTTTAAACGAACGCCTCTCAATCCAAACTGAGCAATATAATCTTCGTAAAGGTTGTTTTTCATTAGGCTCTTGTCATAATTGTCTCAATTGTGCGACTTTTCCAAATGAAGTAGCAAATGAATGAAATTTTTCGTTTCACGTAAAACCACCTCACATTATCAACCAGAAATTTCGTACATGTCCAAGGAATATTCCCTTGACCGTTCCGTTTATAATGCCGCTGTCTGCAGGACGTTGTAGGTGGACGCTTTGATGCCGGTCAGGCCTTCGTGGGAGAACTGAGTCAAGTCAATATCTGGGACCGCGTTCTGAAGCCAGCCGAGATCCAGTCGATGGCCAACTGCACGTCGTACTTGCCCGGTAATGTGATCCCATGGCTGGTGAGCAATGTGGAGGTGTTTGGGAGAGGAGCCTTCAAGAGGCCCTTGGAGATGTGTCTGGAGCGTCTGCCTAATACTTAAACGCATCTCATCTGCCATTGTTGTTAATTAGCTGCTATTTCTGCGCATTCATTTCATTTCTAATTACTGTGAGAGTGTTTATGGAAGCTGTGAAAAGCAACATTGTGAGTGAGGCATAGAACACTGGATGTGCAAATTAGGTAACACTCTTACGGGCTACTTGCTTACTGTTTTTGCTACCTGGTGTCAAGTCAGTTGAGTCCACGGTTCCTTTGTGTGTTACCGTCGCCTTATTATAACTCCTCCATCCTCAGAAGCTTTGGACACACACACACACACACACACACACACACACACACACACACACACACACACACGCACAGACATAAATATTGTCGAGCCTCGTTTCAACGTACCCCGTTTACATTTTAACCCCTATAACGTTCACATTTCAAAGTCCCGATTTCACGTAATCCATTTGCCGCTTGTGCTTACAACGAATATCTTGATAACGTAAATTCCATCACAACGACCAGATTTTTTCAGACAAAATAGCAAAAACGCCTTCGCTACAACGAACCGTGGGAAGCTAACCGCCGCCACGACATTGCTTAGGAACAAAACAAACAGCACGGGATTTCCCTCTGTTGCTTTGCAACGCTACTGATCGACTCGGTACGTTGTTGCACTTTCTGCCGTAACTCGCGGAGGCATGGCACGGTCCTGAGCACGTCGTCTGAAAACGTGTGGTGAACGGAAGCAAATCTCTCTCTCCGTCAAGCCTGAAATTGTATATCACTTTCGAAAGGACGCTCAGCCGAGATGATGAAAATTGACGACAATCCGCGACACCGTAACGAGGTTCGACTACTGTACAAGAGAGCCAGACTTGCGCTGACATGTGAGCCGCTGTTGCGTGCCGGGCGGGAGAAAGCAGGAGAGGAGATTATCTTTAACGTTCTGGCTCATGTTATGTGTATTGCTTAACGGGAGAATCGGCTTGGAGCCAAAATCAATCACAGGTTGTATCCTGACATGATTAGCTTGGAAAACCTTTCTCTTCGATTGACACTCTATAAGGGTGGGGGGGGGGATCAATACTCTCTGTATGGACATGAGTAATAAATCTATCACAGTGCTTTTTTTCCCCTCTTTGCCTTGTCTATATAAACAAAACCTGTTAAATGATGTTTTGTATTCATGGTATGATTTTTTTGTTTTATTGTGTATAGTTGCAGTGTGATTGTTAGCACTGGTAGTTGTCTACTTTTGATGTATTTATTTGTGGTATGTGTTGTAATGTACACGTGCTGTCCTGTTTTTCTATGACTGTTTTGCATGTTAAACTCTTCCGAATTATTGATGTGGCCTTTATGGGGACTCGAGTGCCAACGATTGTTTTCAATGGATAAAAATGACGTTGTCATGATATGTGCTTAATAAAAAAGAGCTGCTGCCTAAATGAATGTTTGCCAGATTTTTTTTTTTTTGTCAGGAAAGGACACTTTTCACGCAATCATTTTCAAACCGAGTGTAGCATGAAGGAGTTTTTTTCCATTTTAACCCTTTCAGGGACAGCGGTCACTACATTGAACAGCTGATCATGTTGTCAGGTTACAGGGTGTGGGAAACGCTGAATAATAAATCTGAATGACTACTTTTAATATCATAGCCGTATATTGGAGGAAAGCCGTCTCTCCTTGTGCTTCCAGAACTTGACTCCATTGTAGCTTCCATATACACACACAAGTTTAAAGTCATCCGCTGCCCTGTTGGTGGCAACTGTCAGGTATGATAAAGAGGCGTGGGTGTGACATAAGTAGTATATAGCGTAAGCCGAGCGGGGATCTTTTAACTGAGCTGACTTGGCTTCAGGACAACACCAGGTGGCGTGGGTGGCATTAGCAACGCTTAACAGAGGGAGAGGTCAAAAGGTCGACGGTGACAGAGCAGACATTTTGTCCTGGAATTCCTTCTGGCTGCAAAGCAGCGCACTTGAAACACATTTTCTTATACCTTTTCCATGGAAGCGAAGACAAATGCATCTCAGTGTCTTGGGAGGTTGTTTATTTATTTATTGGACAAATTTGTCACTGAGCTGTCTGTATCGTTAACGCGGCCGGAGAGAGCCTTGTTGCGATGCACCAGAGGGATTTGCGATAGCAGGCAGCAAAATAGATGGTGATGCAACTGAGAGATGTAAGAATTTGAGAAAGTGCCTTGACAGTTATTGTTTTACAGAGTTTGAAAGGCAACACACATAAAAATTAAATTCATCAACAACTTTTTGAAAGCATGATAGGCATTTACACATGTAAAATCCAAGCGGCAAAATTTTTTTAATAATCTTTTTTTGTGGGGAAATCATTGTTATTGGTCAAACTATATGAAAATAACCCACATTCACGAACTTTAAAACTCAACATAGGTTGAGGTCAAGGTTGAAGATTACCATGGCAACCGCGAGCTCCCCGACTGTGTCCTCGTCAGGACACATTCATTAGAAATGTCACTATTATTAATGAACAGGGACAAGCTGTGATTAGAAAGACGCTTGAATAACTGCGCCGTTTTTCATCACAGCTGGTGAAAAGTCCTCAAGTGACATTGTCGCTTTATTATTAATATGCTTTCTCTTCGAATGTATTTTTTTTTTTGTTTTGGTTATCGAATGTCCCATGGGTTTGTTGTTGTTTGTTACATTCACTCGATGACGCCAATGTTAAAAAAAAAAAAAGTGCACTGATGACTACCCGCTGTGCTGAAAACTAACATTGAAAATGAAATGACCTTTATTAAAGTTAATAATTCATGAGGGGTTTAGCTTGAGCGCCAGTGGGTCACTAATTGATTGTCCTCACACAATGTAATTTACACGTGGTTTATGACCTGCTAGACTTGTGAACATACATGGGTAACTAAATAATTCATTCAAACAGCAGAGAGCATCGCGGGAATACAACCTAGTGGCACAGTAGGACAGTACGAACTTGCTTACTGTTTCTCTATGTACAGCGTTTACATTTTTTTTTCTCCAAACTATACCAAACAAGCAACGGTATTCCTCCAGTAGCCCTATCGAAGCACTCATAGTTGAGAATAGTTAAGAGTAATAGTGTGTGCCATTCTGCGCCCACAGTGGCTCTTTCTCTTCTCTTTTAACACTGGACACGTGGAAAACAATTCTGCTGTGGCCATCCGTATGCCTCTTCAGGAACAAAGCGTTGCTGGATGCTGCAATCTGCAAAATGGATAATAAATTCATGTCAGACTGAAGGCTAGTTATGTGTGTAAAATAAAACTTCCCTCAATGTGTATTTATTTCATGAAACCAAAAGCACAGAAAATACGAATTTCAATATCGTTTGGGCAGCTAGACCAGATCTGGCCCTAAAAAAAAAAAAAAATTCCATGGTCTTCAAATTCAAACGAGAGAACTTGAGATATGTACATCTCAGATTTCTGCAAACCTCATTTTGTGCCCAGGGAAGTGTGAGAAAATGTGCTTTTATCAGTTTCTGGGTATAGCCTGCCCCCTTGCGGTCAAAATGTTTACTTACAGAAGCGATGAACAGATGGGTCAGGTCATTTGTATATAAGGTCAAATAAAATAAGAATGCGGTTCATATATGTCGGTGGAAAATGTCAAAAGGCTCATTTCACTCATGTTGAATATTTCTTTATCATGAATTGAGTTCTAATTTGCTGATAAACAATTTAGTCCACTTGGGCTGAATATCTTGAGCTGCTCACCGTTTTGAAAATGATCAGAATAAAATTTGAATGATTTTTACGAACAACGTAACTGATAAATTGGACCCATTTCTTGGACTGGCAACCTTTGGTCACATGCAACTTTATGTTGTGCTTGTCGTACCTGAGCTCTTTTGTGATATCGAGGGTGGCAGGCGATGACTGTGATGAAAGAGAAGGTTGCAACAAGTATAGCAGCAGAGGACAGGATGAAGAGCATGTTGTCTGGAAAGAACATCATTTCAGATTATTAGGAAAACAATTCTGGTAAATGCGATGCTTGTGGGAACAGTTTAGAGGTGGACTGAACTATTCGGTGTTTAAAAAAAAAAGGTTGCGTGAGTTCAAAATTTTAAGGCAACGAACTTCAAATAAATGTTAAGTTGCGCCCAATTCAACAACATAGTTTGAGTTTGACTGTTGTGAAAATTGACTTTTCTGCATCTCACAACAGGTCAATTGGAATTTAATTATTCGTTGTGTTGTTCGCTCGACATAAAGATAGAGGTAGAAACAATTCAGCAACTTGCTAGCTTTGTTGCGCAAACCAACATTGTTGCCATAAATGCCAATAATTTAGATTTACATTTAAATTGCTGTGTTAGCCCCCAAAAAATCCAAGTTATGTGTGTTTTGTTTTAGTTTTTTTGTTTTTTGACTGAATGCTGTGACTTAAGTCACAAGGTCAGTTGTGGTGAAATTTCAAAAATACAAAGACAGAACAAGGATCCTACAAAAAGCAAAATACTTAAAAGGCTCCAACATCTACATCAACGAAGACTTTACAGATACCGTACGACAAAAAAGAAAAGAGCTCCTCCCAAAATTAAAAGCTGCACGTGACAGAGGGGAAACTGCCTACTTAAGACATGACAAACTTATCGTCCACCCTCGCACCAGTACTCCAACACAACAGGCTCGAGTTCAACACCATCAAGCGGCATACTGAGAACTGTTCACCACCCGACGAC